CAGACCTTGATTGATGAGGAAAATACTTCTATTAATCATCAACTATTCCCACAGCTAGAAAATTATTGTCTTAGTACAAAACCACTGTTTTTAAATTGCCACTAGACTGCAGGCTAGTGTTAGACCTGCGTTACACAGTGTGACATGGCTACCACTGTCCCTCAATTTCCCAAGGGTTTTTTTTCTTTTTAAATCTATGTGACAGAAAACCATTAGTGGATAACAACATGGGTGTAATAACTTCCTATGTTGAATCTAATGGATTAGCAAGCATGTCTTCCAGACTACTGTGATACTACAGGTGATGTTAAGAATTTTATTTTCAGTGCTGCTGAACAAAACAAAAAAAAAGCCAAATAGGTAAGGGCAAACTCTCTAGGAAAGTAAGTATTGTTTCTAAAATGCCATAAAAACACCGGAAGAAAAAAATTCTTTGTGACGGGCAACTGCTACTGTGTTGAAGTAACAGAGAGAATGAAACGAATATTAAAAAAAAAAAAATGCATTAGTTGAATTGCGCGGTAGGTTAATGTAAGTAATTCCAAAGTATTCCAAAGCAAACTATGCATATAAAACTACGGGTGAGTTGTCACTTCTAACATTTTACTCCATATCAGTCTTGCATTATGCATGTGCCAGGGGGGTGGGGTAGGGCGAGAGCATAGCTCATTCTTACAGGGGCTGGCTACGTAGTTGGAATTGGCGATACACGAGTGAAGAGGCTGAGCTAGGAGGTGGTTGGGTTTTGAACTGCGTCATGACTGCTGAATTGCAAAACGCTGTTTTGCTACATCAGTACGGATGATAAGCACTGGGAAGTGCATGGTCTCTGGGAGGATATGCCACAGGGAAATTTGAGGTTTTTTGTCTTGTGCCTGTGGTTGTTTTCCCTGGAAGCTGGAAATGACCTCAAGAGGGCACTTTCTTGCTTTGGTAATGGCTATTTTATAGGAATTTTCTGTAGTGTATAGTGAAGGACTTCATAGCTTCTGGTGACAGAATGCAGGTTCTGTCTGCTTGTTTATATGACAATTAATGACTTTGCTTTCTTTTATTTCATTTTCTAATTATTGGGGGGGGGGCTGTGTTGGTTGTCACGGGACTACAGCCTGTAACGTCTTTCCCTGTCGTCCTTGCGCTATCAAAAGTAAACCTCATTTTAGTTACACTGCTGTTTTATTCTTTGCCTGATGCAGTTTCTCTCTTAGGAGCAGCAGCATTTCGTGCTCGAGTGCTAAAGTTGATGTGGAATAACTGAGTGCATGAATCACTCCCTGTATTAATGGATTTCTTGATTTAGTCCCACCAGGTAACTGAAATGCTTTCTTTAGGGATTGCTCTAGGGAGACAAAACGCATGCAGACAAATTTCTTCACCACCAATAGATACACTCCTTGTGGGAAGTCAAAGGCATGACTGATTTCAGCGATTGTTTCATTTGTGCCCCTGTAAGTTGGTGTGGGTTGTTTTAACTAACTAAGCACATTAATAACTCCCATGGAGAAAAAAAAGAGACAACCACAACTAACTTAAATATCAACAGATGAATTCAGCAAACATAAAACTTTGTAACAGTGTTTCTGTGTAAACAAAAATGTCAAGAGTTATAGTGTAAGGGTTCTTTATACTCTCTGGGTTTAACAGAGAAGTAAAAAGACATTTCCTGACTGTATGGAAAAATGTATTTTGAATTCAAACGCATTTTGAGTTTGGTCAGTTTGGGGTATTAAACGTCTTGTGCTGAAAAGAAACAGCCAGAAAAGTTCAAACATTTTCTCCTCTAAATCCAGAGAGAGGTAAAAATTCTGCATTTTCCGAGAAGTAGTATATGATAAATATATTATACAATGGCATGTACTTTGGAACGTGATAATAAATATTTTTTCTTTAAACACAAGCCTGGAAAACTAGAATCTATACGAAGAAAATGTTGTTCCTTGTCAAAGTATCACTACCAGTTAGGTGTACTTACCTATTGTACATTATTTTGTTAAAGTAGATAAACCATAAATAATTAGAGCGTTTTGTGTATGTTCAAAGTTAAACAGATATGCGAAGGAAGTTACAGTATATTTAAATCTCTTTACAATCACTTAACACAGTGTTTAACAGAAATCTTCAGGTAAAAGTGCATTATTTAAATATAATACACATAAAAGAACACTCTGGTTCCCTGCCTTCAGCTTCCCTAGAGGCAAGTCGCTAAAATTATCTTTTGTTTAAAAAGGGGAGGGCAACAACACGTTTGTTTACAACATACAGTCCAAGAAAACTTCTTCATCCGCCGATCGAGAACCTGCAGATGTGAAGATACGGGAAGTTTTTTTTCCGATAGCTGACAGGCATCTTTCCAATCTACGACATCCCACTCAGGATTCCCAGATTCTGGATGTTAATCCAGCAGCATTGCCTGGATTAAGCATCTATAGCACAGGGCACACAATTGCTGACCAGTTCAGACCGCAGCAGGTTCCTTCAAAGGCACTGCAGAAGGATTCAGTGATGTAAATTCCAGTTTTCAAAAAAATGAAGGACCAAATGCAGAAGAGGAGGGAACGTGACTGGGATCTTTCCACAATTTACTTTGCTTTTCTTGAATTCCGACTGTTTTGATGATTTAGGGGTTTTTAAATTAGCCTAGAAATAAGGTATCAAATTTGTCCCTTCATATTTGAAATATTTTGCAGATGAAAATATTATTTGAATTCTGTTAATATAATGATTTAGCAGTAGTATAACAGTGCGTGTCAAATAATGCTTTAATAATTAGGTGTATGTGGAAAGAAAAATGTAATATTAAATTGGCCATATGTGAGATGGGATTATCAGCACTGAGATTTCGTCTTCATTTACAGTGAGCTGTAACTTCTCGGATGATACCTCAGTGCTGTAGTAGCACTATGCAAATATCTGGTTAGTGTACATCGGTGGACAAGTTACATGTAGTATCTTCATATAAATGGGACAGTCTTACCTTGCGTATTACATTTGTTGTTTTAAGTCAAGCAAGATGGAAGAAGTTGAAGAGATACAGAAAGGGTAGTTTGAACATTTCTGGGAAAATTTCCACAGAGAGAAATTAACACTATAAACCTGTTTTAGCTAAAAAGAGATCGTCACTCCTGATGATTTTATTACATGCACGTAATAAAAAATAACAAAAGCTCTACTGGATACTTCTATTCACTTTGGTCCAGAGCAAGAGAGTCACAGGACACTGTTAATTAAGCACAGTTAGTTGATTAAAATGCATATCATAAAATCAACCAGGACGCAACGTTTTGGGTTTGTTTTTCAACTGGGCAAAGAAAGTGGGGAGAACTCCAGTCTCCACACCATTCTGATTCACTGTAGCAAATGCCATACTAACTAACTGGAGACCTTACTGTGCCTGTGCACACCAAGGTGTGAGGCTTTTATGGACCTTTCTGTCAGTCCCTTGTACCTCACTACAGTTTAACCAACTACAACGTTGAAAAAAAATACTCTGTAAATCATGTATTAAATGATTGCTCAGAGTTAGAATCAACATCTCGTACCTGAACAGACCGTTCTGTAGGCAGTGGTGGGGGTTATTCCATAATGTCACTAAAAGTCAAACTGCAGGCAGACCTTTCATCCTTGCTCTGTGGACTGTCCGGCAAGACCTGCAGAGGTGGCGATATGAATCCCCGATACTGCTTGCTTGACTTGGTTAACTTCTTGAGTTCACTGGTGAAGGAAATGCCTTTTCTTTTGTCATCTCGTGCTGCCTGTAAAAAAAAATAAATCATAGAAGTGGTTGAACAGGCTGTTTGTCAGCTGTGAAATAGGAATTGATATGAAACCACCCAACATGTTTCTAAGCAGGCCTCCCTTTTGAAATTCAGTGTGGCCGTGCTTTCATAGCCAAGCGCATTCTTCTGAATACTTTAATTGAAAATTATGCATTGTAAAAGATATGTTCAGCAAATTCGGTATAAACTTGTATAAAAATCTGTGCTTATGACACAGTTACTTTAAGGCAACAACTGCTGTGGATTGGTGGCATCCTCTGGAAAGGAAAACATGGCTCCTCCCAGCAGGCACATACTTCATTCCTGCCATTTTCCAAAGCCTGAGATAAAGCAACAGAACAACTTTTTCACTGGCCAGGAATAAAGGGGACTTTATTCCAGTATTTTTTAGGTTCTGCCCATTTGAATAGTCCTGCTTTGCTATGATGGGGAGCAGGGCATGCTCAGCCAGAAGATTTTGAAAAACAGAAAGCTAGCAGCAAAAGATAAAGGGTGTCATGGGATTTGCAGGCTGTGAGGGAATTGTGTTGCTGGATTTAACGGATGCAATTTTGCAAAGAACGAAAGGGGGGTGGGGAAAAAAGAGGAATCTGCTTTTTGCTGCAGTCTTTTCTCGCCACCCAGCCTCATGCCAGTCGTGTCTCCCTCCCATTGACAGTACGTTCCCATTGAGCTGATCATACACCTTCTATAAAACCTGCTGCAAAGCATTTCATCTTTTACCTGAACCTGTTCTTTGAGTTTAAGGATAAATTTTCCTGCTCCCTTCCACTTGCTTTGGGCCTGAAACACACACTCTTGATCAGAGAGAATCCTCTGAGATGGTTTAGATGTTGAGGACTTTTTGTTTGCCGGCTCTTTCGTCACCTCTTCCAAGAGCACGTAATCACTTGGATTTGGATTGCTCAAAATGCTGTAGGAGTATTTGGCTTTGCAAAGAGTCTGTTTAAAAGCAGAAAAAAAGATGACAAAAAAGAAGGCATTCCCTCAGATTCAGGTTACTAAACTGATGGCTCAGCTAGTGGCGAGAACAAACCCCACCTTACCTTGTGTGAAACCCACCTCCACCCTACACATTACAGACCTACTAAATGGGAACGTGTTGCTTACCTGCTGTATGACATCCTGAGCTGTGCTAAAGCGGGGAGCTTTGATGACAGTGCGTGGTTGCTCTGGGGAGACATCATGTACCTGAACAAAGAAACTGTCATCCTCAGAGCTGATGGCTGCATCTTCCTTGGCTTCTTGAAAGAGGTTTCTCTCGTTTAAATTCTATAGAAAAAAGGAGAGCCAAATTCATCTACTGCAGATTTTAGATAGAATTCGTCCCCGCACCTTCTCTCAGATAATGCGTTTCTCTCCAACCCCTTGTAACGTAGCTGGAATTCATACGCTGTAAACACGGGCTGCGTATCGCACCCTAGGAAGTGGACCCACTCCTTGTTTTTCCATGCAAATTTGCAGCTTCATTTCTAGCTCTGAGATCTGAGGCTGCTACCTGCAGAAAGGCTCAAAATTACAGATAACGCTTTGAGGTACTAGCATCACAGGACAAAACTACAGCATAATTTTCACATACACTAAGACAGATTTTAACTCCTCTGAAAGCATGGGGTTTGGCAGTGACACATTTGTGGTCGCATACACTTACAAAGTAAGTGTTGCAGTCAACTGAATTAAGTGGGCTACTACTTCCACAAGTAAATTTCTACCTAGTAATTTTTGCTCCAAATACTAGAAATAAAGGAAAACAAAACGCTGATTAGTGTAATACAATGGTAACTTGTCAAATTGAAGCTTTATCAAAAGTTGTGTCAAAATAATTAGTTAAAAATACATTTTTTCATTTTAAAGGATCCCAGAGAATCTCTGTCATTTGTGTATGTAAAATCTGTGTATATAAACATATGTTACATATATTACTATGTTCAGGCTAAGCAAGCATTATTATATGCTGAACTGACCAAAGGAAACGCCTCTGAAAATGAGATCATTAAGTGTCTTTCTCTTGCTTTTTTGTTTCTCACAAGCCTGGGCACCAGCATATTTTCAAGCTGTGGATGTTTTGCTCATAGTTTAAACTGCAGTAATCACTCCATCTTCCTCCTTTAAATTTAAAGAAATCGCTTATTTCATTATTTTAGGCTATCATTGATAATTTAATCAGCCTTTGAGGTTTTTAGGGTTCTTTAATATTAAAATCCTTTCTAATTTTTCCAAACAGAGAAGAAGTTGCTGACTTCTAAAGTGATAATTGTAGTCTGGAGTTCTGTCATCTATGAGCCTTTGGTATTAACTATTATCCTCCTTTCTTTATATTAATTTCTTATCACGTCAAAATCTAGATTTACATTAAATTAGAACTATCAGTCAAAACAGTATGCTCGTGGGGCATTGAACTGTTGAGTAAGCGATAATGATGAAACGCCACATAGCTGATCCTAGAGCTGAGTGAAGTTAGTGTCGCACAGGTGTATGAAGTCTAGTTGTGCTCACTCAGGAGTTACGTTTGGTTTTAAATGAGGTACACAGCATTGACATTACTCACCCAATAGTGAAACAAATACTGCACCCTTTTGTTTCCTGGTCCTAACAGCTATTTTTAGCTACCTTTGTAAATAACAATTTATCTAAAACAGACTTACTTCCTCTCGGGTTTTAAAGATAATCCTTCCAACATATCCTTCTTCTGGGAACCAACTGTTCAAAAGCTGCACTAGCCCTTCTTCAGGACCAATCACTCTCTGGAATGGTGGTTTTCTGCATTCACTCTTTTCTTTTGATATAAAACTTTTCTCTTCCATCAGAAAATAGTCTGCAGCACATGACTCGGTGCCTTTTGTGGTAGCCAAGAGCTAAGACAGACCAGAATACACACACAGCAATTAGAATGCTAAATATAAACACTGCATAATTAGTAGTTACAAATGAGAATGAATAAAGAAACTTTAAGAATCAATAACTATTCTCATAGTGTAGGCAAGATTTCTGATGTGCTATTTATTATTCAGATATTTTACTCCAGGGTAATGTACTGTTCTCTTTAGCCTAGCCAAGCAGTTCAACTATTCCAGACAAGGCAGTACTATTTAAGCTTATTTCTGTCCTGTTTGGCTGGCCAGACAATTTATTCATAATCCCAGGACAGTACAGTCTTTTCCCACTGCTAGAATAACAATCCCTGTTGAGTTGACTGGTTTTTCTACTCGTGAACTTAGCCCTCTAACTTTTACTCTTTATTCCTGTGGCGCTCAAGTTCAAAGAATTGCGCAGAAACGTTTGCCCTTGTTGTAAGGACAGCCCACTGCCTCCGTCGGTCAGAAAGACTGTTTTTCTCATCTGCATATGCCCAAATATTAAAATACTAACAGGGAATATGTTCTAAGATTATAAACCCATTCTCTGAAGCCAAGATTGGGAAAATTTCACTGATGATAGCCTGTGTTTGCAATGCAGTTAATTCCACAGCAATACATTTCTAAAGCACCTCCCTGCTGTGATGAATGAAGTACAATGACCCTGCATGTGAGAAATGCAGGGAGATCAATGTCCAGAATTACGTTAGTGTGGATTCTTGGCAATTGGTCTGCAATTCAGCGGGCAACTTACCTGATGGAGAAGCTGTGCAGCCGTGGTCCCCCCACTTACATTAAAAACAGTGAAAGGCTCCGGGCCTGGAATTCCATGAATCGTCACTTTGTAGGTCGCAGCAGCTTTCCTTTCCCCCATGCTAAACAACTGTCCAGACAACATTCAACAGGTTACTGAATGTTTTCACACAGCCATGTTATTTTTAGGTTGCTTAAAAGAAACTGTACACACAAGTTGTAAGGACCTTGGCAGAGCAAAGCTATCCAGCTAATACATGTCTCTTACACTACAGATCAAGGCATTAAAAAAAACAACCCAACCCCTCAAAAGACCCCAGCCCACCCTACCTTGAAGCTGAAGAGAAAGAAGAAAAAGGAAGTTTTCCAGTGAGAGTACATAAACTGCCACTGAACAAAGGGTGGACTCCGTCACTCACTATCTGCGTTCTAGCTGAGCTCAGGCTATTTGGATTCAGCGTATGAATTACTGGATGAAAATCTATAGCTTCGTTTTACCCTCCAAACCATTTATGTTCTTCCTTTCTGCCCTAGTAATTCACCAAGATATGTGTTCGGCATGTATTCACAGGAGGATAACGTCTGCAACACATCTGCTGCACACACAGTAGCTCAGGAGGTTTTATCTAACACTTTAGGAATCAGCAAAATGATAATATACATGCTTAAAGTTACTAAAACACAAGTAACCGGGGTAACCTAACATTAAGGGCTATTTAAAAAAAAATACATCACATCTGTACCTGCATACATACATACGTATTGTCATATCTATATTACACACACATGTATGTATACATATTTGTACACATAAGCATATATATGTGTGCACCCACACACATAAAAATACGTATTTATGCAAATACAGACTCCATCTTTTCCTGTAATAGAATTCAATTTTACTCTCATTATTCCAAAGTTGTTGGTAATTTGCATCTTTCTTTTTTTGTCCCAAATGCATTGCTTATGATTCATGCACAAAAGAATGCATGAGGCAGCTCTGAACCTTACTGCTCAACCACACGCCTTCTCCAGCAGAGGAGCTCTTGTGCTCTACCTAAACACACCAAAAGCCAGACTTTGAAAAGATTTACCCTCCCACAGTTTCAGCCAGGTGGAAGAACCTTACTTCCACCAAAGCCCAAAAGAATTAGGCATCGAGGTACTTCTGAAAATGTGCAGGTTTAGGGGCTAATGTCTTTGAACAGCCTGGTTCTAGAAGTCTTCAGACCATAGTAGTCATTAAGACAAGAATACATGGCATTCACAAAAAAAAAATTACATTACCACAGATGCAGGCAGAGTGTTTCCAGAGGGACTTTCTTCCATTCTCCGACTGTTTATGAACAAACTAGAAATTTCTAATGCTTCATTGTGCAGGTTATGGAGCTGGACATGTCTATAGCCTAAAGAGAAAAAACCCTTCTGTAAGTACTTTGCCACATCCTAGGACACCAGTCTCATAAATGGAAAACTCAAATTTGCTATACTTCTAGCTATCATTTGCCACACCTGTAGGATTTAAAGCACTGGAATAACACTGCATTAACACTCTTTGTCTGTACAACAGTGGAACGAAAATGCTGTGAACTGCTGAGTGGCTCATATAGCCACCTACCTTTGTTTTGCTGTAATATTCAATATATTCATACATTAAATAGCTAAATATTAGAATATGAATGAAACGAGGACAAATTCTCACTGGGAAAATGCACGTCTGTGGCCAGATCTCCTCATACGCTAAGACTGTTGCGTGCTATTACAGTGGCACGAAGCAAACGTGAAAGTATTTTTACCATTCTGCTGAAGAGCTGCTGGCAATATGGAAACTCCCTCCCCCAGGTGTCATAGAATCTTCATCTCATAGATGAGGTGCTTCCTCATCTCTCTCTCACCTTTTTTCACCCTTCCTTCACCTCTCCTCCAGCCACGGCTGCAAGAAGTGCAATTCCCCTCTGCCCAGTGATCACCAGTTATAGCAGTTTCTTGGGCAAAGGACAAGGCAGGGAGTGAAAGCACTCCATGCTTCCCAAGGGAGCGGCAAGTCTCAAGGTGAACACAACCTCACAGCCACACCTCAGGATCGGAGCAACCGCGTACAAGATGCCCCAGTCTCTGCAGCAGCACAAGATCTGACTTTTTACAAGTCACTAGGGCAGCCTCCAGCTCCCAGGGAGTCTATTAGATCAGCATCGTGCTGCCAGGGCAAAGTATGTTGTCTGATATTTGCTCCCTGTCTCCTCCAGAAAAGTGCAACCAGCTGATTAAAAATATCCCTCCGGCAGGATTCAGTCCAGGAATCTGCTGGACCATTTTGGCATAGGGTGTCACTACAAACTATACTGTACCTCTTTTTAGAGCTTTTAGGGGAATGATTCTCTGAGCTGTTACAGCTGAGCTGTTATTTTCAACAACTGCGAACCGAAGAAAGACCAAATCTTCGAAGTGAACACGGAAAAGGAACTGTTCATTCCACATGGGGTTGAGAGTGTTGCGATGAATGGGCTTCGTCCGGAAATGGCAGCTGTCCAGAGGCATCCCCAGCACATCGATTTCAATGCACGGACTGCCCGTGCTATTGCTAGGGCAGACGTTCTGTCCAGACACAATCTGAAGCCGAGGAGTACACAGAGAAACCAATTAGTGGAGCAATTCTTTTACTGTCACGATTCTGAGCTAAATATTGTTTATCACACTCCTAAGCACAGTTTGTTAACATGCTGATGTAATTACAACGCTTCCCTACTTTTGTAACTGCCAGGACAGTAATTTCAGAAGCAGAGCTGCTTCAGCCCCCCCCCATACCGTTGCTACGGTATCTTTCCTCTGAAAAAAAATACACTATACATCATGAGCGTAACCATTCAAGGCATCTGAAAGTTAATCCAGAAGGAATGTACCAGTAACATAGTCAAAAAGGATCAGATTTTCTTCTCCGTTACTCTGGGGTGATGGCACTGATCTCTGGCTTGCTTTGGCATCCACAACACAAGTATTAGGTGTGCAATTACCGCAGCTGGGAGAATTCTGGTTCTTATGAATCTCACTTTTCTGAAACATTTCCTGGAAGGGACTAGCTTCTTAGAATACATTTTTTTTTGGCCATAAATCCATGAATGATATGTCTTATTATAAAACTTCAGAAAAATATTTTTTTACTATTCAGTGCAGCTTTTCATAATGGCTTTTTGTGTAGCTTCTCAAGTGTTCACAAATGTGTGAAACATCTATAATTTTACACAGTTGTGTAGTCCCAGGGAAAACACTTTCAGGACTGGGTTTCGACAAATATTGTAAAGGAAACAGTGAAAGTAGCTATGGATACAAACCAGCCAATAAAATAAAATAAAGACAGTTATTTGCTCCTTCCCCCTCCAATTTCTTTTAGCTATGCTGATCTTCAGAAGTACAAGCAACAATTAAAGGTTCAATCTTTTCATACAGAAGTGCGACTGTAATGCTGGTTAAAGACCGTAGTTAAACGTTGTCTACTTCTATCTGTTTGGCTATATTCATATATATATTTCAATTCCCTTTTAATGTACTTACTGTTAAAGAATATATAGCTGGCTCCTTATTATCAAGATCTCTTTCTAACGGACAAAACTGCTGGTACATGGAACAATTTTTATCCCACAGAACAGGAGGTTTCAAAACATATCCACAGCCGCCATTAGCCTCAAACATCGCTGCATTAAGTTGCAGAGGAAGATCTGTGAAAGTAAGGCAGCCAAAACTGATAAAGAGCAATGGTACACTGGAAAAACTGTAACAGTGAAGACAAAGACATGTTTTAAGTATCTTTTTTTTATTTTAGTTGTTTACTATCAATTCATTCTTGGTTTTCAGAGATAGCTATAATTTACGTATCCAATCTATCCAATACTTAATTATACAAAACTATAAGAACAATTCATTCTTTTCTATCCCTTTCCATTGTCTTTATGCAACGGTAGGGCTTGCCTACACCTATTCTCTGAGAAGTTTCCAGGTATTTGCCCTGAACTGCAGAATGAAAAAGCATTGACTGTGTAGCTTTGCGGATCCCCCATCGAAAAGGTGAAGGAACACGAGATAGGATAGCAAATGGCCCAAAAATGTTTTGATCAACATTAAACCAGCATCCAAGGCGGCACTTCTAAATAAAAACCAGTTCAGTACCTTTTTATACTTGAAATTATCAGAAAGGGATAACAGCTACTTGAACTGGGGAAAAAAAACAACCTTCAGCAATAAAGTAAAAATAAAAATGGAACGTGTTGCTGTCCAGGCACTTCTGTGCTATCAGGAGATCTGCTGCATTGGCATAAAGCTCCTGAGCTCTAGGATCGCTGCTCTCACGGACCAGATTGTCATGGTATGAACCTGCCTGTGCTTGGGCACAGAGACAGGTACATCCCCTTGTGACAGCAGGTAAAAGCAAATGTCAAATACAAATTCACAGTTTAAGGACTTACTTCACATTTAAAATGTATTAAAATGTGCGTTCGTGTACGCGTACCATCTGTTTGGTAGTTAAGAGCCACGAGCTGTACGCCATGGAGCCAGAAGATCAGTGGATGGGGATTTGAGGAGTCAATGCGCGTGGCAGCGGGGTAGGTCCTCAGGAGCTGACAAGTGGTGTGCTGGATCAGCTTCTGAGAGTACCGCCTGCACAGCCGCTTAGCAGCATTCTCGTTCAGGGAGGAGATATGATAGCACTTGGGTGTCCTTATGATAGCACTGAGAGAAGCTGGAGAGTTGTAAGGAGAGCAAGGATCTTCCCAGGTCTGCCGCATCACATCGAAAGGACCTGGAAAATAAACAGTACCTTCAAGTTACAGCTGCAGATCTAGAGACTCCAAGAATTCAATGTCTTCTAGTGAAGTATGTGTGCATACTTTGGTTGTGGTAGAAAAAGGGGATCCTGGAAAATGACACTACTCAGTATAAGTGTCACATTCCTTCTTACACAGTAAGAACAATCCATGAGAGGAAACATAATGTTTAAGTATTGAAATGATACTGTGATTAGATGTGCTAACAACCATTTTCATAAATAAAAACTTAATTGGCATTTGCCTAAATAAAATAATGGAATAAAATTCCATTCTTCTCATTTATACATTTTACATGAGGAAGGGAGGCAAGATTGAAACCCATCTGCCAAGTCTCCAAACAGGCAGTCTAGAGAGTGCCGTTACGAGCTAGGGGACAAAGCCAGCAAAATACTTCTATCCTCTAGAATTAGGTGCTAGACTTCTTCCTTTTTAGGACACTGGCCTCTAGAAGGGAATCTAACCTGTCTGCTGCAGCCGTGCCCTTGGTCTGAAAGAAACGCAACGTTCCTTGAGCCACAAAATGAGTACAAGAAAGGGTGCAAGTCTGTAACTTTCTGTTTATGGCAGTCACCTGAAAGGCAGGGGATCTGGGTCTCATCCCTGCTCCAGAACCTTTTTTGTACTTTCTTTGTATTTCTTTACATCTGTTCATACGCAGAAGTAGAATTTCCAAGTTCATAAACTGAATCACCTGTGGAGTCTAAATACCTCCAAGGTGGAACACGGGAGTTTGCACGATTACACGTTTGGACTTGGCTGAATTTTAGGCAACTAAGTCCTACTTCAGACACTAAAAATCCTTTTCTGGATCCAGCCCAACAGTTCTGCCTTCCATTTGTACTTCAAAAATATTCGTTCATACCTTTTCAAATACAAACTTTACTTAAAATGTATGTTAGTTTTGTATCATTTATGAATTAGGGTCTTCATAGTCCTGACCAAGTAATCCTGTTTTAACATATCCACACTCAACACTTCAGTTATAATAGTGTTACTGTAATAGCTGCTGCGCTAACGAAAAACCATTCCAAAGTTCAACATCTTGCACATTGTAAAGTATTTGATCTTTAACAACTTGGTCTGGTACATGTGTTGGATTACAGAGTCATTCCACGTGACTGGTGAAAGAAGATGCTAACTTTACCTTTTCCAGATGCTTTGGCAAGAGCAGCTGACTCCCCAGGGCTCAGCCTGCCAGGATTGTTGCCAAAAATGGACTTCCTGCTTTTTCTTTCTTTTCCTCTGCTAGAGCCAGATGGGTTTAGAGTTGACAAGCCTGTTCCCATAAATGTAAAATAAATGAGCCAAAAAACATGACCAAGAGGGCATGACATTTTCCATCATATTTTACATTATTTTTGAAGGCATGAATACTCCTGTTATATAGTACACAGGGCAAGCAGTGTATTTTTCTCCATAATTTAATTTTAATGTCTTTATGTACATACATGCCTTTATATATGAATATATTATGTATGCTTTTAAATATAATGTATATTAAAACTTATATGAAGCAATACAGACATACAGTTATCTCTCTGTGATATAACTTTTCTCCATTTTACTTTTTCGCTTGAGGAAGGCAGTGGCTCTGTCTCAAATTACCAAATGGTCCTAATTAATACTAAAAAATTCTGCACTAACAGTCCCAATGTATTCATCCTTAGAATAACTTTAAAAAAACCCTCCTTTCTACAGAAGCAATAAATCTGTACAGTAGTGAATATAATGGAATTCATCTAGGATAGGATACCTACATAATTAAATAAATGCAAAAATATGATTTAAAGATATAATGTAAAGGAAAAAGCCCAAATGCTGTCGGTTAAACGGTTTAACCTCAAGATGTTTTCAGAGTTATCTTCTGCTTAGAATTTGTATTTCAATGACGGGAAATACAGTAGGTGTGCAAAATCCATTAAGCGTTTAATAGCCAATATGTACTAGAAGTGGAGCTGGAAAGCTCTAGTATAGCTATTATTCAAACATCTGTATTCCAGCAAAATAATCATTAAAATCATGATCTAAATCCCAGCGAAATAAACAGACTTAATCCCCCTTAAGGTCAGTTTCATTCTGTTGACTTGGAGAGAGGACATGGCAGACCAAAACTAAAATAAGTCAAAATGCACGACAGTTATTCTGACACCCACAGCAGTGAGGTGTGGGATGCTCTCAGAGACCCAAGATATACTTGTGATATAAAACATAACAAAGCAAGTACACTGTTATTTGCCTGACTCACCAAACGACCCTCACGAACTCACATCAATTCACACCTGCCTAAAGACAGTTCTGGATTTAAGACTAATATTTCAACTACAAATGTAAATCACAAAGAGGATACATTGGACTCTCTTCTACTGAAGTCTGTCCACAGCTGTAAATGTTCAGCTCTCAATCTTTACGGCATGTCTACATATACTTAGCAAAACTATGCTGATAGTTTCAATGGAACTGCTGGGGTTAGTAAAATTTAGGATATACATAAATGTTTTCAGCGTTGGAGACGTACTGTCTCTTCGGGCCAAAGCATACACATAAACCAGAAGATGGTAGAAGCTGAGATCAAGGAATGCGAACTGACTAGAAGAATGAGGAGTTAGGCACTGTGCGCTTCCAGCACTACTTAATCCCAGTTTTCAACGGATCAAATGGATTTGGCAAGCAAGATCCAGGTTTCAAAATCCTGTTGTGAAGACAGTCACTGAGGAAACAGACTAACCTCATAAATCACCAGAGAGTGCAGCGCAAAACACCAGGGTTAACCGAACCCAATGCGATGGCCACAGGGTAAGCTGCAGCTGGGAGTTTTCTTTCAGTCTTTCCCATGGCCATGCTTTGCATGTGACACGCCTCCTCCCAGAGGCAAGCTCCATTTTGCACTCCCAGTTAAACTTGACTCCAAAATATAGCATCACCTATTCATAGAATCATAAATTCATAAAATAATGGAAGTTGGCAAGGATCTGGAAGTCATCTGGTCCAACTCTCTGGTCAAAGCAGGACCAGCTTAGATCCCACCATACTGCACATAGATCCTATCATACCACCAATGACGGAGTAAATGTTTTGCATTTCCCCACAACCTCTACGGTATATCCTCACAGAATTTAGTGCCCGTCTCTCATGTTAGATATAACCACGCTGCTTTACTGCCTTTAGATTTTTAATCCAGAGGATGGCAAACTTCCCTGCCCTTCTTATTCTAACCATGCTAAAGTAACAGTTTAAACTGTAATTGTCACCGTCTCACCATGTGTTTCAGACCAACAGCCAGTTAGTCCGCAGGTTTGCAGACTTTGAAAAAGAATTTACGGTACTTTTGTATGTAGGGTGCCCTTTTTTATGTTCACTTTAATTTCTTGAAAAGTGATACCATAGGGGCAGATCGTCTGATACAATGGAGATGGTGACTGAATTTCACGCTGGTCAGCTCAGGTGACTCCCTGCTCTCTGCACTTGATCGTGCAGATCCTGGTTTTATGTACTTAACTTTCTCTACTCATTGTGTAAGGATCCTCAGCACCAAGGCAACGAGCCATGTGCCAGTGGGTTATAGCAGTACTTTGCTCAAGTATGCTTCACTGCCCTCCTCTTGGGTGACCCAAAAGAACAGACCTTCACCCTCTTAAATAATGGTATGATGGTACCCACCAGACTGAAATTGAAGTTAAGCAAGGACCGTAAGGGTCAAAACCCACTGAAACAGCAAGAGCTGTGGTGGGTTCCTTGTTACCAGAGATTTTATAAACAAGAAAAGTTATTTTCTCCACATGATAAATTCTGTTTTGACCAGGGAGCACTTAGGGAAGTCTGTGTTACTCAGTAGGCTAGGATAAGTGAACATAACGGTCCTTGTCCTTTTTTGTAGTCACAAATGAGGGATTAATATTCAGGGACATAAGCAACTGTAAACACAGAATAGAAATACATGAAGACAGGAGAAAAAGTATTTACACCATTGATCAGCCACTGACATGAATTCTGCCGTCCCTATTTCCAAAACGCTTGCATTTTCTGAGTTGGTTAGGAACCCGGTCAATAGAGCTACATAGTCACGGATGTACCAGCCTTGTTCTCATTATTAATGGACAATATTGGGGTATGGCAGTGCACCATGCCTGCGCCCACCAGCTGAGCAGAGGAATCCAACCAGTAGCATGGTGGCCATGGAAGTCTGCATATCTTGCAGAGAAGGCAGTATTTGTGTCAAAGGAGACAAGGTTTGTTGGAAAACTAATTTCTACAGCTTCATGTGTTCATCTGTGAAAGGAACTCATTTTCTTAATTGTTCTATTCATGTCCCCTTTAAAGCAAGAGGAAAAAAAATCAGATAAGGAAAGCAGGTATTTCTTTTATAACTGAAATTACATTAAAAAATTGAAATATTTTAAAGTTTTCTTAGAACATCAGAACTTCTTTGTGTGTCAAAATGCTTGGAACAACTTAAACTATCTCTGTTTAATCTTGAATATCATTCTTTAAAAGAAAATATTTTATTTGAAAGATATTGCATTGCAGATTTCATTAAAAAGAGTATCAGATTCGAATTTTTAGAAGTTATTATTTTTACAGGTGACACCTACAATTCTTAAAGTTACAGAAGATTATAAAAGAATGTGTCTCCATTTTCAGCATGTTTATCTTGCCTATTTGACACTATTTTATGTTTGGTTAGCTTCTCTAATCTGATTATAGTTCTATTTGTGTAAGATCATGATTTGGCAGAATTGTTAACTTTTCCACAGAGAACCATTCCACTAAAAAGCAGATTTTTCATTCAAAACATTAAACACATCAATAGACAATAAATTCTCAATTTAAAAGTATTTATGTACACAGTATGAGCCAAAACATACTCAACCTCATGTTTCAGTACCGAACAAGTAACTATCAGTGATCTCTTCAGTTACTCCCTCTCCTTTTCTTCTGCAAACATTATTCTTCCTACTGTACAAAAGAAGACCCTCCTATTTCCTTAACCCTTCCATACAGAGTGTGTGTGAGTGTGCAGTCAGCTGTCCTCACCCACCCCATGAAAAGGCTGCTTTACCCCCCCCCACAAATGGCTCCCCTCCTATCCACTTAGGAAAGAACAGAAGATGCAGCTGTAGGCAAAGGTGAAAGACGCTAAAATGAGGTCACTTAAAGAAATGTGACAAGCTCTTCCTGCAAGGTTTGAAGAATATTTTCCTTCCTAATTCAGTAAATCCTTACATGGAAACTCGGAGCTCTTAAGATAAAGCTTTCTGTCATTTGGCAATGAAGCAGTTGTCTAAGTTGTGAAGACTGGCAAATTTCACTTTTGTAAACATTTTAATATGACAAACAATATGTCTTCACATAATTTACGTATACTACTTCTCAGCCAGGAGCTGCTATTATGTAGACTATCAAATCATCAAGAAAAAAAGCTCCTAGACTACTTCAATTTGAAAATGCTTGTACTAACTGATTCAAAACATAATGTCTCCCAAGAACTAGGAAGCCTAAAGCAATAGAACAGGGCAGCGTACTTACCAGGGAACTTTACCGCTTGACAGTAAATGACAAGATCTGACAGCTCTGGGGCTATCTGTCTGCTTTCCTTCTTATTTTGCAGAAGATAGAATTCTTCACCCAGCTCCATGTCATACACCTAAGTGACAATTCCAGGAACATATAATAATAAAATTACTGAATGTGAAAGTACTCTTGCATATCTTATGTCCTTAAAAGTCTTTATCTCATTCTTCCTATATGGTTTGCCGCCTTCACCTAACAGACCTCCATGTGCAGGTTTATGCATTAATACCTGTTACTGATACTGGAATAATGCGCAAAGGCCTCAGAGTCAGTTCTACAAACATTTAGACAAAACACATCTGTGTTCAGGAGAAACTACAATTTACTAAATAGCAATGCAGTGGTTCAGTTGTCAGATGATTTAATAAAAGGTAATGTGGTTATCTGATATCATAGTGCAATATGTTAAAGTTATTTATATATACACAAAAGATGCTGAAGATTCAGATGAAATCTTCAGTTCCACTGATGTTAACGGAAATCAGATATCTAAATAAACTTCTGGATTTATGAAAGATGAATTCTTTCACTGAGAGCAATGACAGTTAAAATTTTCAGCCAAACAGCCTGTATATACAATAACCTTTGAGGACTTTTCTTGAACAGTGTATGTTGAGCGTTTGTTCTATTTAATTTATTTTCTCTGGTGTGTTTCCATGCTTTCCACTATTTGTCTTCATTAAAGCGCATTTGCCACCTGATGTCTCAGTTACCTAAACTGCTCGAATCCTTTTGAAGCTGGTTATATATCAAAGTGTGGCTGAGAAGAAAGGGGGAAAAAGCAGAACTACCTTTCCTTTATTATTGTAAGTAGCACAATCAGCCTTCTTTATTCGTTTGGCAGTCTCTTCATTATATTCAAACTGCAGTTTATCACTTGGTAATTTATTCTCAGGTCGGTCTTCGAGAATGTTATCTAAAAATTAATGGGATTTTACTAAACATAAAGCCAAACAATTTCAACTGGAAATTTAATTTGAATTAACAGTATTTGTGGACAATGCTGTGAATCTTATCTGAATAATCAGATGCCAAAATAATGCATTTACTGGTCAAAGCCTTCTCTTTTAGTAGTAACTTTCTACTTCAAAAATTCAATGCTCGGCTTTGGTTAATACGTTGCACTTCTTTAAAAGCCCATCCTTTTGTGCTCAGAAGATGCTTAAAACAAAATTATCTAATGAATTAAGCCTGCCATCTGAAAACAACTGATATTCCTGAACAACAAAGAATTGCTCAAGTCCAAACACAGTTAACCAAATCAAACATGTACACGTCTTTGCACAGCAAGTTTTGGCTTTCTTCTCCTTACATTCACCATGAACAAATATTTTTTACAGCTGTAGAAATTCCTCTTCAAAGCTACATATTTATCAGAGAATAATACACGTACTAATTGGTCTTTCTGGACCAAAATATTGTAACTGTCACAAAAGGAATGGTTTTATTTCATTCCTGATATTCCTGATGCTTTGACCATATTCTTTTTATGCATAACCAGTGTCACACATGCAGCCTTCTAACAGTTCCTGAGCAGTTAACAATGCCATATAAAAATACCTGATTGCATTTTTAGTATAAAGTAGAAAACATATATTCACGCTGTCACATTTAACAGACTGGAGATGCAGTGCTGATTTCATGCAGTTAAAATGCTCAACCAAATGGCCTTTACCTTCCTGGCTGTTAGGAGCAGGAGAAGCACTAAGGACATCAGCTACAGGGAAACGGAGTCAGAGAGGGAATAAGAGTAAAGGAAATTAAGATTTACAGCCAGAGAAATGAAAATTAAGCGTCAGTTGTAAAACTATTAGCCTTACGCAAACCTAATGTATCAGTAAGGAAAATAAAACTGAAAATCTTTTAGAAAGTTTACAGACCATTATTTAGATTAGTTTTGCCAAAATATTAACGTAGTTTTGCCAAAATATTAACGTAATTAAAGATTCCAAAGAATAATCATTGTAATAAAGCAGTAAACCATGCCGCAGATTCCTTCATGTATTGGAAGGTGTGAATGTTTCTTCCTAGCTTCAGATTTCTCAAACCTTCTCTTAACTAGAATATTGCTCAAGCACCACTTACTGCAGTTAGCTTGCAATATTTTCCTGGCAAGTGTGTTAACAAAGATCTAAGTTTTTCACAGCAATTTACATCTACACTGTCTCCACCCTGTCCCACACAGGGACTATTTCAAGTAGCCAGTTAGGCCAACTTTCTAGCAAAATGCAACTGAAGGCAGCACCAGCACCAAACTTGTAAATTTTCCTATTAGCATAAATAATACTGCTAGCCCACAAGCAGTGTCAGGTCCTTAATTTTGTGACTATTTTTTAAATCATTAACACAGAAGCAAGTAATGTAAATAAGAGACCAACTGGAAAGAAGTCCTGTGCTGCAGGGCATGCTCTAGCCTTACATCTTCTCTGAACATGGTACCTAGAACTTAAACAGGTACCCATTAGACTTAAACGTTCAATGAGTGAAGTACTTCACCTAGGAGAACATGCCCAACTGTGTCAGACAAATGGTCCATCTAGCTCCGCATTCTCTTTCTGACAGCAGCGATGCTGTTTAAAGAGAGCATCCAGCCACTAGTCATGGTCTACTTCCCTTGCACCACCCCAACGTCCACAATTGCTGAATATTAGGGATGTTGCACCATACATTTCTACCTATAACATTTGCTTATAAACCTGTCCATGTATTTGTCCAATCCTTTTTTCAATCTGCTGATACCGTTTGCCTCTGCAGTTTCCCATGGCAGCAAATTCCAAGTTTACTACCAGCTGCACAAAGAAACTTTATTGTATCTGTTTTATGTTTTACTCAGCACCTCCTAGATCTAACGAGTAACAGTTCTGTATTCCACTTATCCACCACTTCATGATTTAGTAAACCTGCTTCAAATTCACCCCTCAGTTCTCTTCTCCACCAGCTGGAGAATTCCAGCCTTTTCAGACTCGTGCAAGCCACTGCCACACTCCCTTTACTTTGGTTGCACTTCTCTCTAACTTCCTTAACTCCACCATATCCTTCTCGAGATCTGGACGCAAGAACTGGACACAGAACTCAAGTTGTGGCACATTAAGGTTTTATATAGAAGCAAAAATATGTTTTGTTTTCAGTACTGTTCCTGATGATCCCCATCTTTTGGCTGTCACTGCACACCAAGCTGAGGATTTCAGAGGACTTTCAATAGTTCCATGACCTCCCAAATTGTTACTGCCATTGTTGAGCTTAGAATCACATAAGCAAGGTTTACGTTTTTTCCCCTAAATGTATTACCTTATGTTTATCTACACTGAAGCGCATCTGTAACTTTTTTGTCCCTTTGGTCAGTTTTGTGATCCATTTATGGAGTTTAACAATGGTGCAGCATTTAACTACCTGAAGAGCTTGGTACCACTTGTACCATCACTGCTGTCTCTTTGGGTAGACGTGCTGTGATCTACTTTGATATATTCTCTGAAAATTACTAATGAAAAATAATGAGTAACCCATTTAGATGCATCCAGCTTGTTCAATCCATGCATGGGGGTTTTGACAAATGTCCTTTGACAAAACTTGAGAGGATTAAATGCTTCTGACTCCAGCTGTTTGCTCTACCAGAATCTACCAGCCCCACAGCAAGAGAAGCAAAACAAGATGCATGACTTCAGCTCAGCTGCCTCAGTCTGGCCCATTCTGTCCTTCATCTGTAGTTAAATCAAATGTGTCTGACTGAACTGGAGAGCTAAGGAATTAGTGGAAGTTACTAACTGCAGTATTTTTTTATCACTTCTGGCATGCCAATCATTATATCCAATCTATAAACTGCCCCTAAAGGTGGATTTATGCTAAACTGCCAGTTCCTGAAGGCTAGCATAGCTGAAGCATAGACAGCACATGAACAAGGCAAGGCAGTAAGGCATGCCTTGCCGTTTTTCCACTGAACAGCTAAAGCTTTAATAAAGACATCTTCATTGAACAAGCCAGGGACTCAGTGGCTTCTCTACCTTTATGCATGAAGTGAACAGCTGATGCTGAAATTGTAACTAAAAAAGGTACTTCAGGGGTCTCTGGTATTACACAGGAACCAAGGAGGACTTCGGAGCATCTGCATCTTAGGTCAATTTAATGGCAGTCATGCAGATGCAAGGGCTAAGCCTGTTGTGAACCTTGAGCTTTCCGGTGTCTAAACTCCTTAGGGAAGACCATATAGGTGAATGTAGATAGAGTATACGATGAACACAATAATTTTTGCATAATATAAATAATATAAAATATAATTTATAAACACTACAACTTAGCATACACTGCACAGTTAAAACATCTAATGGTTGGAGTTGAAGTCACATTCAAGTCCTCTACACAGTCAAATTATTTTCACAGTATTATAGACTACTGCACCAAAGTGCCACTGAGGACATTTAGTACATCTTCCTCTCACAAGGTAAGATCAACTTACCTACATCATTCCTGAATTAGGATATTTACATGCCTTACTGCTACAGTTCTAACAGCAGCACTGTAATAAATAAATAAATAAATACATATTGTTACCATCAGAGAGAGATTCATAGTCATAGTCATATTCATCCTCTTCATCTTCTTCCTCTTCATTGGTAGGTGTGGAGTTGCTAGCACCATTGCTAGCCTGTGCTTGCATATGTGCCAGCTGGTGAGCCTACAGCAACAGAACCATTTATTACATTATTGGTAAGTATTTTTAAAAAGCAAAGGAGTTTTCATCACTGTTTGCATCTTGTTTTATTTATATGAAAGCACTGAATATATATAATGAGAAATAAGTAAGATTGTTAAGATCAAACTAAAATACAATTTTAAGGGTTTGAATATAAAGAAAACTTGTATTGGTAGGAAAACACCCAGTAAGATATGAAACCTGATAATTATGGGAAAATGTCTACTTTGTACATTATTGAGAGCAAGACTGCCTTTTTCCAGTCTGAGGTATGCTGTTTTGGAAACAGTTTAAAAATTTTTAAAAAGATGGTGAATGTCCATATACTGGTACGATCAGTGTGATTTACTTATTCTGATACAAGAATTCAATTCTAATTCAATTGTGTTTACATTTTGGGTAAAAGCAATTAGTTTTCAAGGATTCAATCTAATTGCTGACTAACCATAGACATTGCTAAATTGAGGCTACCAGAGATGCAGCCCTAATTTTTAGAAACCAAAAAAATTCTCATATAGGTAAAAGCACTACCTGAATTACAGAGTCCCCCCAAAAAGGGCGTAAGAAAGAGAGTATTTGCCTGGCTTGAATGTGAAAAAAGAAACAAAGCAGAATTCTACTAAAAATTACTACATACTGTACATATACACACATACTGAATGCATATCACTATTTCTCAACAAACATGAATAGCAAATGTTATAGCCTCAGAGTGAAACTTCATTTATGTTTATCACATAGGGCATGTGGTGCTAATCATAATATTATGAAGTATTATAAAACTAAAATACACTAAAATTTTGTTATGCTGTATACTTTACTATATGTCTTGTCTACTTATTTGAAAGTGTTGCAATCCACTGTGAGTCTTCCAAGCATGAATATGCATTGGATTATTCTGCTGTATATACTGGAATGGCAAAAACTTCAAACACAAATGAATTATTTCTCTAACAAAAGTTAGGTCTCATTGCTTGCTATTAAGGAAGGACTTTACCTTTTGTTTCAATATATCCACTGGTGTTTGATGCGCTTTCAGCTTCTTGTTTTTAAGCAGGATTTTTCTTTTCAGTTGGCCAGGCGAAGGAAGCATGGGATCATCAGAAAAGTCACTCTCAAATAAAAACTTTGTTACCAGCTTATCTCCAAATACATTCTGAAATATGGAGAACATATGATATGTTATGGAAAATCCCAAGGCATGTGCTGAGAATAATTTATCACAATTTATGGCCTACCTTGAAAATTTCAGCCATCTTGCGTTGCTGAGGCAATGAACAGTGGTTTTCTATTGATATGATAATTGGCATGTGGGAGGTGATAAATGCATTGCGATCAATGGCTTCAACTACCTCCTGTGAGAAAGAAAGGTCATTGGAAGAACACGATTACTTTGCAGCATTCAGTTAACTTACTGTTAGTTGAAAGGGAAGAAAGGAAGGCATCTGTTTTCTCCTCCAAGAAGAAAGAATCCACAATGTGCTTTCAAAACAAGCTCCTACAGATCAACCTAGCATCTTGTTACAACAGAACTGGTAACAGCTACTTACGTTAGTTATGTTGACAATAAAAAGACAGAAAATTACAGTACATATGCTACAAAAACTAATTTGAAAAGCATAATGTTTACAATTGAGGAGTTCATGTCTGACGTAGTCCATAGTTCATATTCTATTAGGATTTAGCTCACTAAGATTTGTGCTTTTCTAATATGCAAATTTTTTCCTTCATTAGCGAAAAAGTTAATGATTTTCTTCTCATTTTTTGTTTCTATGTGCAATTACCAGCATACCTTAAAAGAGATCTTAGTAGTAAGAGTGTGCCCATGATAAATGATAGGCATTCCATCATCGCCATCCCAGCAGTCTAATTCTACACTTCTGCAGCCTTGTAAAAGAACCTACAATGCAATTGAACAGTGTAAGCACGTATAAACCACAGTCTCATGCCATCAAAGCAGAAGACAGACATTGCAGAGCTAAATGAAAGCTCAGTGATTCAGCAAAAGTGCTGGAAAGAGCAATCTCTGTGGAGTAAACATAGCCCACAGAAGCTACAGTCACCAGCTAACTGCATTCCCTAGAAAGAGTGGGAAAATTAAGAAAGCATTAATGTTCTTAGAAGAATCATAGAATCATTTAGGTTGGAAAAGACCTTTAAGATCATCAAGTCCAACCGTACCATAAAGCTTTAAAATTCATGGTATCTTGCAGGACACACGAAATTTGTTTGCAGAACATGGTTCCTAATGTATAGCTTTATGTTCTGAGGGAGAGAAACATTTCCATATTTCTACCTGCAAAAGCAGCTATAAAGCAACATGGCAATTTATTCCAGGTTGCTACCATGACAGCTTATGGACACAGCATCTGCAGTTTGTTTGCTGGTTCTTTTTGTTGTTGTTAGTTTTTGAAATAGAAGGAGGTCTGAAAATAATGTCTTACGAACAACTTCCATGAGGATAGTTAGAATGGAAGTGTGCCAGGCCATCCTATTTAATGATATTAAGCTAACCTACAGCCAGCCAGCCATCTATCCACCCACCAACCCATTTTTTATTTGTTTTAGAAAGCCCTACTTGGTAGAAAACCACTGAAGAAAGCAAAGAGGAAGGATGGAGGGAAAGATAAGCTAACCCATCTGTCGGCAGCCCAGCTTATCATTGCTCTCAATATTTAGCATGCCTATCATTGAAAGAGTTATCTGTATCACAATTAAATATTTTACTGAAAACAAAGATCTCGACAATCAAAAACATTTCCAGAAAAAACATTCACAAATGAATTAAAAATTACTTCTTCTATTCAAAACCTGAATAATTCGATTTCAGGCAGTTCTGTCTGTAGCTGGCACACCACCACTTCTGTGAGAGCCAGACACACCGAGCCAGAACAAAGTGCCCCTTCTCTTCTGGTGACGACTATTTGAGGGACAGGAAGAAACTCTTCTGCATCACGCAAATTTTTGAGCCAGCTGAGCTCTATCTCACTTCCCATCTATTACCAACACAATACTCACATCACTGTGCAGTGCTACTGCAGGAACCTCCTTTGCAATTGCATTATTCAATGCAATCATGTCATTCGGGCTTTCCTAACACAGCCTCACCCCTCTGTCTTGTAACTCCAGGCAAACCAGCACACGGGACACCAAATGAGCCCTTCTCAATGGTGAGTCATTAACATTTAGAGTAATGAAAACACTACTCACAGGAAGTTTGATGCTTTCTCTAGCATTTGGTAAATACACAGACACACAAATATATATATACACACACACAAACAAACACAGAACCAAAAGCCCTAGGGAGAAATCGTTCTTTTCCTGTTCACTACCAATCAGGCATAAAGTCTAAAAAACCGTTGAATATTCCTAGAAGTAATGTTTTTAGAAGTTATAGTTCCATTTGAAATTTGTCTTTGCAGTGCAATGTACAGTATTTGAGTAGTGTTTTTGACATCTGAATGAACAAAAATATTAGATCAGTCTTTCCTGTGGGAAAGTCTAATTTTAGTAGGTTGGGTCAGACCAACTGGTGTCTAAATGCTATGAATCTCAAACTAAACCCATTTTTTTGCCTTAGGAAAGGCATTTGAGCACAACTGTGCTTACAGGCAGCTTTCCCACACATCATGTTTTCCAACATCTTGCAAGCAGGGGTTTAGGACATTTAGATTTTCAAAGCAAAAAGGTCACGTTTCTGCAACTTGCCAGTTAAACAAACAAGTTCATGTTGAAAACTACGCAACAATCCAATCCTGCATACCTGGCTGTAGAGCTCTACTGAGGACTCCCCTTTAAGCTGATGGCCAGTAAGGTAAGTATTGTGTGAAGATTCTATGTAGTAATATGACAGCGGAAAGTGCAAGTCCTCAGCATTCTCTTGTGACTCATCATTTTTGGAGGCAAAGTTGTCTTTATCCATCAAAAATCTAGAGGTGAGAAGATGTGAGAAATTTTATGCTGTGCTGAGTATTTTGTGACTGTCATACAAACACCAATACACTTGTGTCATCTTCATATATATATATATAGGTAAAAATTAACACATAAATAATTACCTTGCAAATCCTTCAAAAGATAGCAGCCCCTGCTGGCACATATTCTCACTGGGTTCAAATTTCTATAAAGAGGAAGAAATTTAAGAGATATGTAATAACAATTCTTAGAAATACGACTTTTTCATATTTTCATAGTGTAGTCTGCTCATTGAACTAACCAGTTAGTATCTAAAAACAGTCTTTTTGTGGATAAAGTAATTAGGTGCCTGCAGTATGCTCATGCTTGTTTTACAAATCACTAAACAAGTATACTAAACTTGTAATTGTAAAACATAGAATCATGCAGGTTGGAAAAGATGTTGGGAGGTCATCTAATCCAACCTCCTGTTCAAAGCAGAGTCAGCACTTAAGCTGAAATTAAAAAGGATCTATAATCAGGCATCCTTTTCCTATGTATTGTGCTTAAACACAATACACCACCATCTCGAATTAGAGAGACTTGTGGTATGCTAACTTGATGTTTCTTTAGAATTTCTCTTCTAAACTTTGCAATTTTATATTACATGTTGATAGTTGAAATATACAGTTTTTAGCCTTTGTTAACTGCTAAGTGGGGGCTTAATTTTGGAGTATATAAATTATGCATGTTTGGAGGAATTCAAAGTTTTCTACATACTTTCTAATCACTTCAGCCATTGTACATAAGGGAATAAAATGTCCATGTTTGCTCTAGAAAATTTTTTATAATAAAATAAAAATATGCGGAAATGGTGGTTTTTTAAGTTCCAAATTAAGGTTAAGCTCTATCAAAGGTGGTCATAAACAAGGAGAAAACAATGCACTATCATGAATACTCTTCCCAAGTGGTGACATCCCTTTCTGGATAAAGCACACAGAGCCAATAAAACTGTTTATTTGCATGATTTTTTTTTTCTTTTTATAGACATATTTATGGACATCTGCACAATTTTATAGCCCAGAATAAAGACAATATTAAATTTTAAATTCAAGTAAACCGTAGTGACAACATCAGTGTGGAAGGAGATATCCACACAGATACGCTATCCTGACTACAAGGCAGACAATGCTAGTGGGGAAAACAGAAGTAACAAGAGTTCAAGTAAAAGGAATTGCAAGATGTTGGTATTACAGACCTGGATAATACTGAGGATTTCATCATAGGTGCAGTGTTCTCCTTGGCAATTCACTAGGAAGTCATTCAGCTGCTGGATTCCTACTCCAAATATTCCCAGTGATGTGCTTTCAATACCAGTACCATTGGTTACAATACTAGCAGCAGCAATAGCATCAGATATTTGCCTCTGGTTGTCTGATAGTTGCTGCCTGCTCTTAATGAACAAACCAAGGTCTGAAACGTTCCTAGTCAACAAATCTTAAAAGAAAAAAAAAGGAAACATAAATATAAGCTATATAATTATGTGTATTACATGTACTGTATAGAATATAATGTAATATATAATACACATGACTATCTGACTGAATATTTTAGCACTGACATAGTAAATTATAACAAAACAATCTTGTTTTATTCACTAATAGAAGAAAGAGTATTAAGTATGTACAAAGACAGTGGGAATGGACTATAAGTGTTCAATTACTATAAACAAAATCTGGAACCTTTAACATGGATTCACACCCTCTCACACACTGTCACCCAGGATGCTCCTGCTTCCTCTCACCGCCACGTACAGCCTCAAAGTCTTTCCTTTGCTGTGTACAACCCCATACCCTTCCTGTGCGATCACCATATATCTTCTTCCAGTCCCATATGCCAATTGTACTGTACCCTCCCCAAAGGCTGCTTTGCAGAAAGACTGTTTTCTTTAAATGTGGACAAAGCTTCAGACTTAGATTATGGTAACTGGGAATGTAAAGGGGGACAGAGGTTTCCTTCCCCCTTTCCTTCCACATAAAGCAGATCTACTAGGAAACCAGATAGGAAAAAAACAACCAAATGAGACACAGGGCACAGCCTCCTCCTTTCTCCTCCCTCCATTTGCTCAGTGTTTTAGCCCTTCCAGAGCTCCTGCAACCAGATACAGATCCCTGTGTTGGGCCCAGCTGCTCAGCAACAAGTTTTATGCCTCTGCTATACCGGTTACAAATGTATCTGGCTAATGTAAAGCAGGAATACTTTTCCTCCCCTTCGTTTCTGAACAAAGAACCTGTCTTACATCCTGCTAACTAGGTATTAGTGGGGGTACAGCAGCAATCCTCTACTTAAACTTATAATTGATAGTTCTTTATGAGACTGACTGAGACACTTTTTCTTAAGCCCAATAACTGAAGCTGTTCAGCAGTCTAACAGCTGTATTCTCCTCTTTAACAAACCTAAATCAGGCTGGAATCCACTGCTATTTTCATCAATCTTCAAATTAGTGTAAAGTGGAGCAGGGTCTAAACCAGATCGATTGCAAGGCACAGCATAGACATCGAAAAGGTCTTTCAGATCCTTGCGGCTACGGACACTGTGAAAAGAGTTGAAAAGTTAAAGTTTTGCTCTTTTGAAAACTTGGATGAATGAGATCAGTACAGAATAAAAATACATTTTACCTGAAAGATTTGAAGAGCTCTACAAATTCCACAAAAGTCATGTTACTATCAGACACCATGAAGTTCTGAAACCCCTTCATTCCTCCTTTAACGCGGCCATGCCAGCTACTGCTGCTCCATGTGCTAAATCAGAAAGAGACTGCTGTAGTTTGGTTACGTTAAATTTCTACTTTTTGAAATATTACATGTTACTGCATTAACACTTTATTTGTGCTCTCCTTAATGCATTTATTACCAATATCTGGAAGAAGCAAATAAAGCAGTATCTTACAAGATGCATAAGGACAGTTTGTACCTTCTTGTTTTATAGCAGCTATTCTTTTCCCTCAAGACAACTGCAGACTTTGCCAGAATTGATAATGTATATGCATGCTATTTAAAATTCCTCCATGTGCAAAAGAGCCTGATGCAAATGGCACAAATGAAAGCATTCTCGTTTTCCCTTTAAAGAAAACAATGCCAGTATTTTTGTAGTGCAGGCTGTTTATGAGGTTCGTTGAAGATTTGCTAAGGCAAAAATAAAACGGATGTAGAATTCCTTAAAGCTCTGTGCTGTCAAAATAAAATAGTAATATTCTGACAAGACATGCAAGAAAAACAAATATATTCCTTATGCACCTGGCATTTCTTATATCTGGAAGCATTAAAGGTGCAGACTTTAAGAAGCATAACCCTTCCCCATTCCTGGCACTCAACCCTCACTGTTTCCCAGCCAGCCCATGGGCTTCCCAGATACTTCCCAAGAACAGTCAGGATTATCATCAGATACCTCACAGACAGGTCAAGGTACAGTCCTCCTCTTCTTTTAGGCTTGCACAGTAGCCTCTGGAGGCCATTTCCTTCTAAAACGAGGTTCTAATGATTTCCTCCTTTCAGCTTTGTAGGCTGAAGGAAGGAAAGCAGACTGGAATTTCTTGAGAGCAAAGGCAGAAAACGATCACAGAAACAACTAGCTGTTTGGTGCTAATTATTTTAGTTGACTTGAGTAATACCAAACCCAGCCAATTTCTTTATAACTGCAATTGTTAACCTAAGTTGTGCAGCTGAACAAAGTTTTTGAAGCAGAACCAGTACATTTCCAAAAGCCACATCTCAAAATCTTTAGGCTACTACAGGATTTACACTAGTAAGTGTAGTTAGGCCCCAGCTTGAACTATCCCTTGAGCAGTATGAACAAGTCCTTAGTGAATTTCATGTACTCATTTGCAATGATGGGCCGAGCTCTTGAGCCCCTTCCTGGGCCTGAACACCAATGAACACACACTGCAGGAATGGGATCCACCAGCACCAGCATCCTGAAAAGCAAAAGATCTAAGCAGCCAGCACAAATATCAAGAATTGTCTAGTTTAAACCGTAACTAACTCAGTTACAGTATTTGTTTCAAAATACCAGACTAGGTGACCGTGTGTCAGACTTTATTGCTCTGTAATGTTCAAATCTACAAATCCATTAATCTATGAATTCTGCCATCAGGTTCAGTACAAACAGTTCCAACAGCTGTGATGGAAAAACAGGACCAGCTTGTTGTCCAGTGTTTGTAAAGACATTTGTAGTCACCTGCTGCTAGCCGGCGGCTTTCTACATAAATATGCTAGATCAGATTCCTCAGTTCACTCCTGGCCTGGGATGGATGGATGCATTTCAAAACAGAATGTGATTTAAAAGTATTAAAACAATACCACCTACTTCAGTTGATAATGTTCAATTTGTTTGACATCACTATGGCAAATACTGACATACTGCATATAACTTTTTGGCTAAAATCATTCCTCACATTTTTATCAGACAAGAAAAATAAACCATGATGAGGAAAGTCTCTTGACTCCAGAAAACAGACTGGAACTGTAGAGTACCGAATGGAAGACCAGCAGCAGATAATAATGCTCAGCATTTCACCAGATCTGATCACTAAAGAGTATCTTCCACAATCATTCCATGGGTAATAAATACAGGTTGTTAAAAAAAAGGCAAAACCCCCAAGAAAACTGCACTATCACAACAACCAAAGCTGTAATTAGTAGCAGTCTGGATTATAGCTGTATACAGCTAACAAGAGAGGCGGTTTACACTCTCTTCACAAAAAAGCCCCCATCTCTAATTTTCCATATCCTCTTATCTGTTTCCCAGTGGCGTTACCACCCTTATCCCCTGCTTCCTCCACCTTACAGGCAGCACTAGATTTCCAAAGAGCTTGGGAATTTGCTAGATGTACATCTGCTTTAAAAGAATGACAGAAGACAGCTGCAGGCTACCTGTGTTTGGAAATTATCTGGACATCTGGATTCTACAAGCATTTATTCTCAACGTAAATTATTTGTCAGGAGGTCAGGAATAATAAGGTTGTGAGTTATATAGGTAAAAATACCGTTTTTAATTTTCTACCTATAAGAATTACTATTATTTAAAATGTACAACAAAGATAGCCAGGTCCTCCTCTTTTTAAATTGCTGTCATCATATTTAGGGTTTTTTTTTTTCCCACTTTAAGAAATTTTATTTTATTTAGCTGTCCTGGTTTCGGCAGGGATAGAGTTAATTTCCTTCCTAGTAGCTGGTACAGTGCTGTGTTTTGGATTTAGGGTGAGAACAATGTTGATAACACATGGATGTTTTTAGTTGTTGCTAGGTAGTGTTTATACTAGTCAAGGACTTTCCAGCTTCCCATGCTCTACTGACTGAGAAGGCTGGAGGTGCACAAGAAGCTGGGAGGGGGCACAGCCAGGACAGCTGACCCCCACTGGCCAAAGGGATATTCCATACCATGGGACATCATGCTCAGTATATAAAGCTGGGGGAAGAAGAAGGAAGGGGGGGGGACATTTGGAGTGGTGGCGTTTGTCTTCCCAAGTAACCGTTACGCGTGATGGAGCCCTGCTTTCCTGGGGATGGCTGAACACCTGCCTGCCCGTGGGAAGTAGTGAATTAATTCCTTTGTTTTGCTTTGCTTGCGTGCGCAGCTTTTGCTCTACCTATTAAACTGTTTTTTATCTCAACCGATGCGTTTTCTCACTTTTACCCTTCCAATTCTCTCCCCCATCCCACTGCGAGGGGAGTGAGCGAGCGGCTGCGTGGTGCTCAGTTGCCAACTGAGGTTAAACCACGACATTAGCGCTTTCTCACTTGGTGGAGACGATCTAATTTACTGGTCAGGTAAAGTTAATGCACATATTATACAGCAAGAGAAAGAGAAGAAGAACTAGAAACCTCTCTTGCTCTCCTCCTCCTAGCTGCTATACTGCAGCTAACAATCATTTGTTACCAGCTCAGCTTTCTGTGCTGCAAAGGTTTCTGCTCCCCGCTCTCCTAAGCTCTGGGTTCTGTGAGGGATCATACACTCACCTAACGTGCACCACCAGCTCATGTCCAACACTGCCTCCAACTATGAAGCCTTGTCAGTGTTTGAGTCTAAATCCAGATGCTAATCTGAATTAATAAACTCTGTTGGCTCTAATCTGTGCTGAGCCATAAAAAAGCGTACAAGCACTCCCAGTGGATCCTGTATTTCCTACGTTATTTCATTATCTAGGTCATTCCAACTTTCTGTTACTTTGGAAAATGGATACTTCCTTTTAAGTTATGATGCTACTGACAAAACTGGTTGGGTATAACTAAGTATATAACTTGATTTTTATGAGACTGCAGAATTAACAACAAAAATGGTGCAAAAAGAGACAAAAGATGTCTGTGTTCAGCCTGTGTGGGCTCCCAGACTTACTTTGCCTGTGTATCGCCACTGTTAAGGGCAGCAGCTTCCAGGAAGAATATTGCGTTGCTCGCAGTCTATACGTACCACAGCTTGTGGACGACTGCCCCAGTCTGCTCCTCTGTCAGTTATATCTACACTGCTAAAGGCATCCATCCTGCCACTTTTTCTGAGTGGGGCAGAAAGGCTCAAGTTCACATTGCTCTGCACTGCCCAGCAATTGGCTCAGGTCTGGTCTGGTCCCCCGTGGTGCTTGCCTGTCTCTAAGACATTATTTTCATTTTTGGTGCGTGTTCTACCTGAAGTGGCTGAAATAAGCTGTGGCATATGTTATTGCCTGACAGACTGCCATTTATCTAATGCAACACAAAGCAATAGGACATGCCATGACTGTGGGTGGATTGCCCGAAGATACAATCCTTGCTGGGAGTGTGTCCTATAAGACAGTATATTGTAGATAGTTTGAGACTGAGTAAGCTCTCCATCCATACTATCTAATTACAGAAGTCCCTGGAGCAAATATTCCCAGAACTGCACCTAAATTCCATCTTGGAGGCAATCAGCTGGTTTACTCTAAAAGAGATCCCAGGAGTGAATTAATACACATATAGGGTGGATGATCACAGGACTTCGCAGCAAAGCAGAGCCAACTATGTGATAGCTTAGACTTACTGACCACAGTTGAGGCACTACAGATACTTATTTCTTTTAGCACACATGAAGTGTCCACGCACATTGAAACTGGCAAGCACAATTCAGACCTATCAAGGGTCCGAAGGGTAAATACCAAGAATAAAACTCTCTCCAGTGCTCCCAGTCTCTTAACAGCTCATGAAAACTGGGTCAAGGTAATGGATAAAACACATAATTCTGTTCTGAGGAAGATTTCCTCAGGACAGATGAAACAGCCATACAGCTGTATCCTGAGCAAATTCTAGCAAGTAGGGTCATATCAAGTTGGGGAGAGCTCTACCAAGCGACGCTGTGGAGTATCCAGACAACTTTGCCAGGGAAAACCTGTCATAACTTGGGAAGGCCCACAGTGCTAAGCTGTGCAGGGATCCAGGACTGAGAGGATTTAAAGGAACATTAGCTGTCCTTCCCCCAGGAATGCGAGTTCTCCGTTGAGCCTTTTAATCTCATTTAGAGAACAGCAATTATTTTTGGCATAAAAGCAAAAAGCAGATTTGCAAAACAGAAGAGCATTTTCCAGAGGTAGTATAGCAGTATTTCTTCAGTTTAATGTAAAAGAAAGCTGTTCCATTCCTTAAAAAAAAAATAAGAGAGATGTCTTACAGGGATAAAGCCTAGTCGGGCATGTTCATCCCATGGTTGTGAATGACAGTGAAGAACAAAAAGTAAAGAACATAGTAAGAGTCTCAGAAAGCAGTGTTAAAAGGAGAAGCAGCCAACCACAGATGTCCACAGGTGGCTCTACTACTCACATCTATTGCCAAACCCAACCGTTTTAAGTGTAAAAAAAATCCCTAAGAAATACACAACATAAACCATTACACAAGACTTGTCTCGTCAAAAATAATGCTCTACCAGCAGCAGTAATCTCTTCCATTGTTTACCATTGCTCTCCTGGAAACCCCAAGATTCATACTCATACCTATATCTCAGTATTCATTCTGTTAAAAGGCACTGGAAGGCGTCTGTTGAGACTGTCTTCTTGTATGTTATAAAGTACCATCCACATCCCTGACATATTATCATCGTTATATTATTATTACTACAACTACCACCACCACCACCGCCATTATTACCATTCACAGAATTAATACATTAGTGCACTATGTCACTGCACAACCACAGCATGACCTTCTGCACTGCCTAAGTGACGCAAAAAGAATGAATGTTCAAGGAGGAGAGGCCTGTAAGAGAAAGATTTCAAATCTGTTCCTCCAATTATTCCCCGAGACAGTACTGCAATCACCACCAGGCATGTCAGTAAAAGTTAATACTCCCCCACGTAGAAATGACTTGCGCTGAGAAACCACAGAACTTGAGTTCACACACCTATAACATTTCTGTTGATTTTCATTATACAGAGGACATCTATAATTATATTTTGGAGAAGATCTGGAGAAAGAGTTAAACTCCGTATTTGTGAACTTTTGGAACAGCATTCCAATCTGCTTCTGTAACAGACAAACTGAAGCATGCTGCTCAGGGACGTGCTACAAAGCCATCCTCAGATTCATGGTATTTCAGCTTAAATGGCCTATGTTGTTCTACAATGTGGTTTAGATGTCTATCAAAAGGCTAATGACATTTCTGGCATTGTTTTTGTCAGATTTCATCAGTTTGGCACAAAAACCACATTTGATGATAATTAAGTAACAGTAACTTTTTTTCTTCTTAAATCAAAGCATTGATTTTGTCCTTACCTAGACTGACTCTTGCTTGAAGACATTACAGGAGAGGAGACTGGTCTTGCTGGTGAAGATGATGTAGCTCCTAAATTAGGAGATCCAGATACTGTCAGAGAGTGAGCCCTTCTTGATGGCAGGTTGTTAGATGGAGGAGCATTAATAATAATATTTTGATCTATGGAGAAAACAAGTTTGCAGCACAATTACAACATCTGGCCCAATGAAAGTGCTTTTGTCCAAGAGACCTATATCATAATTTATTAACGCACAGTAAGACACTGAAAGGATTCTAGATTTGTTCCAAGACAGTCAAAAAGATACATTCTGAACAACACATATATCCATTTCATCAGAATGGAAAGGAAGTGTTACTGAAACTAAATGAAAGAACAATCATGAACAACTAAAGAAATGAATTTAAGTTTATAGCATTTGCAGTTTCAACTGCAAAAGTAGTTTTATATCATAAATGTACTTTTAACACCATAAAAAATGTCTGTATAAAGACTTTGAGCAAAACCCTGAGAGACTTTTAAGTACTGAAGCTATTTATCTACCTGGTTCTTGTTCATCAACATCTTGAGGATCCGAACCGCTTCTATTACGATATTCCTTACAGCTTTTTGCCTTCCGAGTTGCCATTTCATCATCAGTGGCCTCTCCACTTTCACCCTACAAATAATGAGCACCGTCATAAACATCCCAAAAACACTACTTTTCCCCATTCTTTATCAGTGTAATCTGTAACAAAACCATGAGACAAATCAGCTGTTCCTTATGAAACAGATTCCTGTAAGGCCGATACCAGTAGAAAAGAGACAACTTAAACAGGATACATAGTGAAGTGTGGGACTGTTAGGTGTTACCTCAGTTTGACATCACACAGAAGACGACAATGATCACGCCTCTCTAAAGTGCTGCAGCTGGTTTTACACTATTCCGCTGGTGCTTAGGAGCCCTAAAGAGGATGGATCTTGTCATTTGAGGATCTCCCCTACTTGCTCACCGGAACATGTGGATAGCACCGAGCTGCTAGTCCCTGGATTTTCCTCTCTCCTGGCTATTACTGAAAGTGGTTGAGTCCAGGAAAAGAGAGGAGACTGCCAGATGAAGTCCAGTGATCCTGTCAGCCACGTAAGATAAAATTGCGTGCTAACCTGAGGCGGAATAACTGTGGTGGTGTTTTTGAGAACATGAAAACAAAAAGGAGCAGAGAAACTGACACCAGCCTCCAAACACCATTTTGCACATTAGTATTTTTATTATTAGCAACATTTTACCTTTATACTGAGGTAGCACCTAAAGGTATCAACAAGATTCTGTCCCCTTCTCCTAGCCCCAGTGCCCACATGTCCTGAGAATGCTTCAAGCATGAGAAAAGAAACCCAAACTAATGGAAAACAATAAGCCCAAAACCTGAAACTGCAATAAGCAGTTTTAAAATTATCATCTAACTTCTTTTCTCTGGTTCAGAATACACAGTAAGTGTAGGAAGGAAACAAATCAGCCAGCTAAACAACAAAATAATAATAAAATGAATAATAAAATATTCTACCCTCATGAGTACTTTCTTCTTTTTCTTAGCTGCGCTTATTCCCAGAGTGTTGTTTCTCTGTACACTAGGTTTCTCGGTGCTTTTGGTGAGAGTTCCCGTGCTTGTGTTTCTTGCACTCCATCGTCTGCCTCCGAACAGTTCAACAGCCTGAGCCAAGGTTGGGCCTTCAAACCTTCCATCCTCCTACAAAAATTCTCAGCATTAACAAAACAAGGAGAGTAAGAACAGACACATTTTCTTAAGCAATAATATAGACATCTCTAAGGAACCAATGAAAGACAAAACATCAAGAGGAGGCAATTTTTAATTACTGCATGAATACCAAAGGGCTATTTTGTTTGCTATTTGGGCTTTTTTTCTGGCCCTAACTCTCATCGCTCAGTTTTTCAGCACCCTTTTCAAGTACAGTCATTGCTTTTTCTTTAATAAAATACTTATTCCAAAACTCCAAACATATGAAGAGCTTCATAATAAAAAAAAGATTTAACTTCAGTGTATTGAAAACATGCAAGGTTTGACAGAACATGATGTGGAGAATCAGACCTTATTGACTTAAGCTGTGTTACAAAGCTGGAGATTTGGCGCTCATCTTTAATCATAGCTTACTTATAATAGAAACTGCATTACATTAAGTTGTTGACATCTTTGAACTTTTCTTATACAAAATCACAGCATCTTTTACCTGGTAAAGGCTGACATACTGTTTCCGTAGCCACTGTAGTCTTTGATCAGGGAATCTCCTCATTTTCCTTACAGCTTTAGTCAATTCCAGCAATCCATCATATAGCATTCTGGCAGTATATTTTGGAGCAACAAAGTGCAGCAACTTATTATCAGTAGTCTGAAGTCCATAAAGTAGTGTTATACCATTTTCTTCTAGGGACATATTACAAAGTTTATTTTGAACACACACAGTGTGCATATCAATGCCAGAGTGTCCCATATATACAGCCTTGGCTGAAAACAAGTCCAAAAAACCTTCCACTAGTCCAGTATTACCAAGAAACTGGTATTTACCAAGCTCAGCAGCGTTACCCAGCACACTCAGTTTTGCCTTAGCATTTGCAGGGCACACCGTTGTGGGTTTTGTCCAAGTCAAAGTACTATTGTCAGGCTGAAGTTGAAGAAAGCAACGCGCTGAGAGATGTGTCTCCTGGTCGTAATGAATGACGGTTGCCCCTTGTTGCATGAACTGATGGACATCAGCCCTGATAGATAACACGTACCAGGGAATGAGTTCTATCCCATGGCAGAAAGCCTTTTGTTGCTCTTCTGTTGAATTTGTGTCCCACTCCTTCAACTGCTCAAATATATCACTTTCAGAATCTGAAAGATCTCCAATTATAAACCTGTAAGTGAACAAAGATGAGAGACTTCTATTTAGTGATACGTGTGCTGATTTATGCTATGACTGATGAGTATTTTTTCTGCTGTAGTTTAAATAAAAAGAATACTATTGTCACTATATAATTTGGACTTACAGGAATATCTGTAGTTTTTACAGTATTACAATTTATGCTATTGCAATTTTGAATTAGTTAATAGATGCTGCTACAATTAATTATAGTTCCTGTAACAATATAGTTATATTTTCTTAGAACTTTCCAAACATTACATAACAATACAAAACTTCAGTTTGGATCTTAAAGGCAAGTGATTCCAGTTTCTAAATCCACAGCATAAGATTGCTTCACTTGAAGTATCAAGTACCGTATGCGGAAACTGTTAGCAGGATCTAGTGGATTGAAGACAGGACTTCTAATCTCTGTTCTATTATTGATTTAACGTGCAGACCTTTCACACTATATAGTTCTCTGATTAACACTTGTAAAACAGCGGTTAAAATACATGCCTTCCTCATAAGAATGCAGCAAGAATTTTATCGGATACTTTCCATTAGAAAATTTAATTTCACTCAAGCAAAATATTAACACGAAACTTGTATGCAGCAACAAAAATTTTTGAAATATTTTACCATAATTAGAAACAGTAGATACAGAGCAACAACATGAACTAATAAATGAGGTAGTTTTATTTAAACTTCTTTACTACAGAAGCTTCTAACATGTATGAATGAACAAATGTTCAATATTTTGATACTGCTTTAATGAACATAAAAAAGAGCAAACTGTTCCATGTACAGCAGAACTAATGAAGCACATTTTCCTAAGGATATCCGGCCAATAAAATGCAAAACAGCTTCCTCTGAATATTCTTCAAGGCATCTTGTCTTAATACCCTCAGTGCTTCCCCTTCATATCGCCACAGTACTCTCAGCTCCTGCCCATGTCCTAACAACTGAGCAAAAGACAATTCATGTTGTGACTTGTTCCAAGTCACATATACTATCTCCCTAAGCTGAACAGCATGGATAACCATTAGCTCTTCTTCAAACTCTTCTCTCCCCAGGGCACTAATTAGTTTGAATTTTTCCCTTATTCCATACATCAATTCTAATGATTCCTTTATGAATTTATTAACCAGTGAGAGCTCTACCTTTCCGCCAAATTTAGCTAAAAGTGGCCAACAGGCTGAGGATTTATTGCTTGTGGTGAAGGGACTGACAAAGGCAGAATAACTGTATCAGCCTTAACTGCAGCTCTATTTCCTTAAGAAATCTTCCTAAAAATAAAGGTCATGCATTATAACTGAGCCGGAACTTACTGTCTTACCAGAGTCTTACCAGACACGTGTACATTAAAATATTTACCTGTATTATACAAGATTAAGATTTTCAAATTAAACAAACAACTGAAGCAGCTCTTTCTCCCCCATGTCCTCAAAACAATCAAATAAGTCTCTGCAAAAATGCTAGAAAATGTATTCTTAGACTAGATGTGCATGGCTGGAGGAGTCTAGTATAGTGGAGACAGAAACGGCAGAGCTTCATTTATGCCTTATTTCACATTTGATAACACTGGCATGCTGCAGATTAAAATGTACAAGAAGCAGGTAAGCCAAGCACACACACGTAATCATATACAGAAACATAACCTCTGACATGAGCTGCCAAAAGCAACACAGCTATCAATTATTGAGAACACACTTACAGGGCTCGCTTTGAATCAGAAGCTTTCTTTACATGGGCTGCACTGAGATGCAAGGAAATGAAAACAAAGGATAAAGGAAACATTAAAACAGATTGCAGTTTTAGAGGAGAAAATTGCATGTGATACAAAAAGGAAAAAAATTGAGGTTTCCCCCTATTATTTTAAAAGGTATTTACTGTAATTAGGAAAGCTTAAAAGTGAAGATGAGATCAGACTAATAAAGCAACGCATCAAAGTTTAGAGTATCTTAATAGGTCATTTGATTAACCATTCTATAAAAACTGTATTTCAAACTTGAAACTTTTTGTCTTTTCCTACCTACCTTTGTTTACTTGAGAACTGTCAAGATAGAGTTCTAATAAAAATTAAAGTTTGATATTTATCTGGCATGTACAGAAAGTCAGGGTGATTAAACAGGTCACTGATTATGCAGTGTTAGAGTTTATTTGCTAACACAACTAGGAAAGTAATTATACCCACTGATTTTATTAGATGCCTTTTGTTTTCTTCAAATCAAACTAACCTATCAGCTTTGGTGGGTTCATGTTCCACAATACCAATCCTCATCAGCAAAAGGCAAACTAATTGAAAATCTCCCTTGCAATTTTAAAGTAACGAGAAACATGTTACACAGTGTATTTTTCTGCCTTTATGACCACAATACTACAATTATCAGGCAATACATAATTATTGTATAATTTGGATTTTATAATGCTGTATGCAGATATGACAGGTCTCACAAGAAAGAGACCTAAGTTTCTTCCTTAGAACCCTTTAGTTGTTCACAGCATTAAAAATAAACCAAACATTGCAGCCTCCATACAACAGGGACAACAGAATATGGCCCTTCTGCCTCTGCAGCAATTTGTTCCTGTGCCTCACCCAGCTTTCTGAATGCCCAGGAAAGATATGGCAGGTGAATAAGGAATTTCCAAAGTCTATGAGGTACTTGAGCTAAATTAACACTTTCAGAAGTATTTTTCTACAAGTCATTATGCTGTTAAAATCAGTACTTGCTGCACCAGAACTACAGATACTAGTAACTGAGTAGTTAGTAGCCTGAATCAGGAAACATAACTTTAATCACCTATCTGCAGTTTTGTTCATTTAAATTTTAAACTTTCATTTCAGTGTCATATTAGCTTATTTTTTTGCATTTAATTCCTACTTTAATTAGAGTGGAACTTACTAGAGTCTGTTTAAATATAAAGCATAAATAACTAATTTACCAAGAACTGATTTCATAAGCATGTAACAAAGAGAACTTCATTTTCTCCACACTGTTCTTTTACATTCAAATTCTACTTTGTTCATCCAAGTGAAATGTTGACTGTGACCGTGAATTGCAAGCTGATTTTAAAGCATATCACTTAATGAAAATAATTCCTGGAAGAAAGCATTTGAACTGAAGTAGGTCAAGAGACAACACAAATGGACAGAGAAGTGGGACTGCCTTTCTTGACTTAATCTACTGCTCCACTTTCCAGAAGCAACTAAAGCCAGATGTGAATAATTCTATTAGAAACCATTCTTTCAGGAAATAATGATTATTTATTTGAAATGAAATTTAGAAATGCATGTTAATGAAATAAATGCATTTAAAACAGGAAGATGGTAGTTCCTTCTCAAGCAGTCACTTATTAGATTTTATGTGTAAGTAGCTGAAATACGTTGGATGCTTCTGAACATATGGATATTTCTGATACACATTATCAACAAAATACCTCAAGCAGTGACCTAAGCATGCTCTTTCATGCAAGCCCTCACATAATTTTACAGCACTTCACCTCTGAACAGTACAGTTTTGTCACTTAATTTGAAGTTACTCTAACACAGTTACTTAGTTTAAAGCTGACCCACCTATGTCTACATGCGCTGCAACTTTGCTGCAAAGCAACGTTCTAGAAGATCAAGTGATGTCTTAAACTTTGCATTTACTGTATTTCTTGCTGGTGAATAGTACAGAATATACCAGGTCTTCAAAGTGAAAATCTGAGATTACTCAATACTGGGCTTCTACCTGGGGCACAATTAAGTAAACTTCTATGCAAAACAGCAGGACTACAGCAACCTGAACATTCAAAAAATGTGTACTGACTTACAAATGCTTTCTGGACATAATTTAAAAGCCTCAAATGAACATGTCCTTAAAAGAAGAGGTCTTCTGAAGGATAATAAATAACCTTTATTTTGAAGGGGGCAGAACACTGCCCGAGCGTGCAGAATATAATGTTCTGAACTCTGATAACAGATATGTCCTGGTGCTATTCCTGTCACCACAGATCAAAATTGTAATCATAACTGTGGATTTTTAAAGCTCTATGTGTAAGACGAAAAGGATTTACCCTTATCGTGAGAGGAAGTACTTACATCATGAGGGAAAATATAACTATACAGAGCGTTTCCAAGCATTTGGGTATCAGATACTTAGCATAACTCCAAGGGGGAAAAGTTCTGAATTGGAAGAGGATAAATACAAGGGAAGATGTTAAAGTCAGCCTTATTTCTAAAAGCGAGCCTTGGTAGAAGGAAATTAAAGATTAAAAACATGAAATATACAGGTGACGATAGAAAATAAAATGAGACCTACTGGTACCGGTTCTTGTCCTTCAAAGAGTTTTTTCTTGAATCTCTCCCTTCACTAAAATTATCTTCACCCTCTTCAGATTCCAAACTGCGATTGCAGCTCCGAATAGTTTGAAAGATATTGTTTGCTGTTGATTCTTTTTCTGGATTATTTAAACCATCTTGGCCTACTCGTTGCAAGAAATTATCTTGTCCACTGTAATCTGAAACAAACTAGAGATATCTAAAAGATTAGTATAGTAATAAATAGAATATTGTGTCATCTACTTCTCACTGGAGAAATTTTACAAGAATTAAGAATATTTAGCATGTATTTCCTATTAGCTTCTAATGGGATTTTGTACCTACTTCCAATCCTAAACAGACCAAATGACTGCATAAATCAAGTAACATAAATTACAAGAACTCCTGCAAACTTTTTAAAAGCCTCAGTCTTAATCTTTTCATGTAATAGCGGCATTTTTCTTTTAAAACCAAAATGATAAAACTCAAAGGAATTGCTTCTTGTCATAGAGGAAAAGCTTGATCCACTGAGCTTCTGAACTCCGTTTTTAAGGAACTGAAAACCTTCCAATTCCCAATGAGTTAAATGGAAGGTCAGAGCATTTAACAGAAAATAGTTACATCCTTAAGGATTTACATACTTACTTTACCCAAAGTATAAACATGACCCTTTGGTACTAACTTTAATTTCTCAGTACTCCAATACTGAACTAGGTATAAACAACCAAATGTAAATTGCTACAATAACTATGGGAATTAAATTGAGGTCCATGTAACTGAACAGTCTGGTAACAGTCTGGTTTAGAAAACTTTAATTAGATAATGCCTTTGTATAAAATAATAAATAATATAAAATAAAAAAATACAAAATAAAGCACTGGATGGCTATGAACATAACCTCTTAGACTATCAATCTCATTTACCTCTAATGTTTCATCCTGGGAGTTATACCGTGGACAGAGTCTGATGAGGCTTGATGCTCCATCCAAAACTTCACAAAGCTCTTTTAAAAATACACCACAGAAAGGAACGACTTTACAGCCTGGAATATTGAGTGCCCGGTTGACCACTTTCCTGTATTCAGATGATGACTCATGTTGTGCCATAGCATCTTTCAGACTTCGCATGGTTTCAATATCAGACTGGTCCATAAATTGCCACATTTTTAAAACTTTTCTTGACCTATTGCAAAAAGAGATCACAGCATTTATTACAAAAATTAAAAACAATTTATATTCAAGTTCAACACTCGCAGCATATATGTAATAGAGGAAATTATCATCACTATTGAGAAATGAATGAATGAAATCAAGATCGTTATTTTTATGAAAATTCTTGTTGGTGGACCATTTTCCTCCCTTTGAATTATTAAAGAACAAAACTAAAAAGGAGAAACAAGCAGTCTGATCTACTGGAGTAACATCTGACATTTTAATAAAAGCCCAGCTGCACAAGACATACAAGCAGGCTTTCTAACATTTTCACTGTGTCATTGCCTTAAATTTATAAGGGCCTGGGAAGAAATAAGAAAAGATTAAGGAAATGGTATAAAGATAAACCAGATGGTTTATTACAAATTCCTTTAGTTGTATTATGAACAATCCATAAACGTTGCAAAAGTGTTTTGGTTTTTTTTAAATTACATTTATTTAAAATAATTTATATTGATTTTTTTTCCCCATTTCACTCAGAGAATAAATTATTTATTTTCATGGAAATAAATAAATTGGGACCATGTTCCAGCTCTCAGGCACCAATGCAGTGCTGCAGCTGAAAAGAATCTTTGATTTCAAACAGAAATACCTCCTGATGCTCCCCGAGGACTGCGAGTATCACTGGGAGGTCTCTCACCTTCTGAGCTCTATGTCTGTGCAATGGTACGGCCTTTCTACCCACCCCAGCCCCAGACATACCAAAAGGTCTGCAGAAATGCTAACAGTAGAACGTCCTTAACCCCACTTTCTGTCCCTGTCCCGGAAACACTGCTA